AACTTATGCAAGCAGTGTTTCTCCTATAGCCCAAGAGCGGGATATTCAGTACTTCATGCACTTCCTGATGGTGCATGTTTTCAAAAGTGTGTCAGATTATTACTTTTGCTTCTCCCTCATCGTAGTGTTTCTGCGATAAAGGTGTTATCCCCACTTTGTCAAGTATGACAACAAACGAGAACAGCGTGATTAAGAAGCAATTCATGAATCTGACTTATGAACATTTTTTATGAAAGCGAGCAGAAACTGCCCTTTACTCTAAACAAGTTTAAAACCTAAAGGAAACGATGCTCTCGCATGCCTGCTGCCAGGTCTGTTGAATGATTTATCCCTAAAGTGTTAAATACTCCTGGATAATAGATATTCATCGTGCAATCAGTCGGTAACTGCTGTTTACCAAACATTTTGTTGTGTCTGCAACGGCGAAGAAAGAATCACATGATTCATAGAAATAAGTGCATCATTTAGCAGAAACATCACAACCATTTGACTGCGGAAACGTTATTGTGTCACTGGGTAAAAACTCTAACTTCCTCCCTTGACCTGCTGTGTTAAATTTTGTATGCATCCTCTGATTACTAACAATAGCTTTCGACAGTTAATCAGGCTTTTGAATATAGGTACTCCATATCTAGTGCTTCTCCAAACTAATGAAAGGGACGTACTACATCGTAGTGAGAAATAACCACGATCTGAGGCAAACGGACTTCAAGCACCTGCCAGATAAAAAACAATTGTATGTAAAATCTATCTGTCCTCCTACAGTACCTTATAAAGGTGTAATCCAGGCAAGTTTCTCGAACAACTCACAGCTATCTATACTTAATCCTACGTCCCCTTTCGTTCATTAATGCTGCACTTTCCAAGGGATATCAAGTTGTTGCTTATGCTTACCACAGTTGGTAGTGTTTCTGCAATGGAAGTGGCACCCTCACATTACAAGTAGAAACTAGGACGATGTGCGGCAGAACAGTCCAACCTCCTGATACTGAGGATGCAACCACATCCGTGAGTGGAACTTGTCCTCTTGTTTCAAAAAACCTCTTAATTAAGGGAACAATTACGTCGAGAAGCTCAAGACCTAAAAATTACCCCTTTACCTATTGTACAGTACCTTATAAAGATCTAATGCAGGCAAGTTTCGCAAACAACTCACAACCATCTATATTTAGTTCTACATCCCCTTTCCTTCATTAACGTTGCCTTTTCCAAGGAATATCAGGTTGTCGGTTATGCTTACCACACGTCATAGTGCTTTTGCTATGTAGGTGGCACCCTCACATTGCAAGGAGAAACTCGGACGATGTGCGCAGAACAGTCCAACTTCCTGATACTGAGGATACTACCATATTCGTAAGCGGAACCTGTCCTCTTGTTTGAAAAAATTTCTTAGTCAAGGCCAATTAACAACTCTCTTCTATCGCTGAAGACAGCAACTCTAATGTGCTAATTACGTTCTGATCTGAAAGATGCTCAGGTTGCCTCTTTGGAACATTTTTTTGCATTTTTCCAATAAAAGTGCGTCCCTTGTTTTGTAACTAGAATCAAGAATGTTGTGGTGGACTGGCAGCTCAACCACCTCAAAACAGAAATGGTGCGGTTAGGAACTGTCCTACTGTAAAAATAACTTTTAGCATTTCATCCAGCAATTCTCTGTATGGCCAAGGTGTCCGTACATTACGAAGAATTTGAAGGTTAATATTTTGGGCACCTGTACGTTGTGTTGGGTTCTTAGTTCTGCTCACTTTATAAGATTGTAAGCTGATCTGCTTCCTTGATGCAATGAGGTATGAAACAACAAACTATTTGCAAGTAGCCCACCTTCAAGAAAATGACATAATCAGCAAAGTCATCACACAAAGTCTGATTCAATGAAAGCAACACCGCCATTATGAATGAGCTTTGCTCGCTTTCGTTTGTAAATGACCGATTGACCGATAGGGTAAAATAAGTGAAAGAGTTGACAACTACATTTAATCAAAAGCATATGATCAGAGTTAAAGTTAAACTAAATGAGCATAAGTTAAAAATGCAAGAACAGAGGTTTTGTGACTTACGGAATCGATTATGTTTGAGGAATACCAATTTGAATGCAGTGCTTTAAACTCGAATCGAAAATTCGGAAATCCATCACGAACTCGCAGGTGATGAGCGCTTTATCGTCAGCATCTATTGTGTAGAGAGAACCTCCATCAGCGCCCGGTGCAGCGCTGTTGAGGGCTTGTTCGCACTTCTGGCAACGGAACCACGTTGGATAGATGCACCGACCAAACAAAGCAGCGTTGCTGTTGCAGAATGATGAACTTGCTATGATGCGATTAGTCGTCTTCGTTGTAGGCCACGTACAAAATCTACATAATGGACCTACCGTTGTGAGGCACAAAGCTAACTCTGCATTTAGACGAGTCCGTAGGGCAGTGAGTCAACGTCGCCCTAACTCAATAACTAGCCCACTAACTGATCCTTTCAGCCAATGCCCCAGGGTATAGTCGAGTACTGAGATGACCAAAACTTGGTCGTGAAAGTTGGCCAACGTTCTGCTAATTATCATAATAGCCAGAAATGCAACGTGGTCACGTGTCACTTATCCATAAATTTCTCCAGTGAGGAAAGAACGTTTGGCAAAATGCGGTTTCTCAATGGAATGCATCAGCTCTTCTAATCTGCGAGCATTCGCGTTGCCACAGTGCATCTGTTATACAAATGTTTGTAGCGTTTGAAGCATTACATTGCTTGCCCTTAATCTGAACTTAAATGCTTAACATTTAAATTCTTCAGCTTTAGTTACGCATAGTTGCCTCATGCGCTGTTCTTGTACGAGAATTCATTTCAATTCAATTCCCTGCTATTTCATTTCCGGCTTCGCTCCTCCGAAAACGTTAAATGTATTCTGAAGAGCAAAATATCATTATTAAACAGTTGATTATGTGAATGCCACTGTCTACCGAAAACCGGAAAAAGTACTGAGGAATGCTGTAATGTGGATTTCGATCATTTTGAGCATCTAGGAGCTGTGGTAGGGCGGCAGACGTATTGATTCTAAGCTGAAGTAAAGCAGACATTTCACTGAGGATGTCAAAGATTGAGAAGCTGTGCGAAATGTGGATAGGTAGGCATTAGGAGTGAATTTCGACATCAATATAATAAAGCTGTACTTGCAGTGTTGCCTTACATTTTGGAAACAAGCTACTTAGGATGCCACGGAGCTCATCTTTCGTGCGAGCCGTCTTCTAAGCGATGTGGCATATATGCCATTGCGTGGTTGGTAGGTAGAAATGTAAAGTGGTCAGAGGATACTGCCAAAAGAGTTCCAAGAACAGCGACTGGATTGATTAGCTAAGACTATTCTCAAAGTGAATCTAAGTTGATTGCAAAGACTGCTCATGCACATGACCACATGTAGAAAGAATCTCTGTGGAGAGTTAATCTACTTCGAAACATTTCTTGCGCATTTCAACCAAGAATATGACTTTGCCACATACTAATATACCCTTAATCGCTTCAGATACCGCAATTGTCGACAAATCTGAATTGAAGTACTTCAATACCATGTGCTGAACTATGATTAACTCACCTTTATCTCTTTGTAATCTAGCGTTGTGTTCGCGTTCAAGTTTTTTACATATCAGCACATTGTCTTAAATTCTACCTTTGTCTACAGGAATATTTTTTTCTGATTATTAGTTGTCAATCAGGTTTAATCGCTTGAGAAATGACGTTTGCTGTCGGCATAGATTGCTGTTGTCAAGATTTGTTCGCAAAAACTGCTTCTGTGAGATGCTCTTCGTTTCTTCAATGATTCCGCTTAAGCCGTAAAGAACAGCGATACAACAATCCATTATAACGAAGTATAAAACTATAATGACATGAAAATCATTAATTTTATAGTACCGTACTCAGCACAGTTTCTGCTTAGTTCGAGCTCATGGCTTGGATAGTGAGGTTCTCAGTAAAATTTATGTAAATTTAACACAGTAAATTTTCACTGAAGCGATAAACGTTGCCGTACATGTTATGTTTACTACTTTCAAAATCGGTCTATCGCTAAAATCTACATCTGATAGATAATTGTTTTGGCACTGTCTCAAACGTTTAGCTTTAATAGAACGGCTGCCCTTAGGTATGCAAAACTGTCGTTCTCAGAGTTAGTTACAGTTTATCTTGTGATTGTTATAGTTTGCTATTATTGTAGCTTTTTGTGCTTTTAGAATTTTATCTCCAGGCTTAGCCGAATATGGTACTCACTATTCAGATTTGTACCGATTGTTTGAAATTCGAAATTTCGTTTGGCCAGTATATGCCAATTGCATTATTGCCAATGATTTAAGATATGCTTTATTACATCGATTTCGTTTAGTGATTTCGCCAGTAAGCACTGGATATTTATATTTGAATTTAATACGTTTTTTGATTTTTATTGGGTGCTTTATCGTTCGTTTGACATCTATGGAGGAATCGCGGGTCAGGGCATCGGTGGAAAAATACTTACTTATGCACCCTGCTTATGTTCGACATTTGTACGAAACGGACGAGCATCGACATATGGACCTGAGTGGTTTGAAATGCGTGCTACGCCGGTTTTTCGAGCGCGGATGCTTCAACAATGGTTTTGTCGCCAGCAGGGATTTTGCCATTCTCAATCGCATGATTTACAGACTGTCCGGGCCGTACCGAAGGCACAAGTTCTATCAGTACGTGAAATCGTTAGACAAAATTCGACGCAAAATCGAACAACTGCGGTGCTATGATGTAAGTTGAATCAATATATTAGCCTGTTGAATCGTAGACCGACGTTTTTCATTAGTGTTTCATTGCGACACCAAACACTATTCTATGCAGTGGTCTGAACGTGCAGAATGTCTGTGATGGTGGTTCGTATAGCCTGATGTATGAGAGCCCCAAAAGATTCATTTACATATTTCTAACAAAGATTCTAACGGTTTGAGATGGGTTGATTTTTTTCAGCAGTGTTACTTGGAGAGATTTGGCATGAGGCCAGATCTGACCTCTGACCAGTCATGTATGACGCATAAATGTTGATTTCAGCCGTGCACGTTAACATTTTTGTTTTAATCAAATAAGCCGTAATGCTACTGTCGCTTCAGGAGTTAGACAAAATGATTCGTAATTTGATATCACTTCTACCGGTTTGCTTTGATGTTCAAAATAGGATCATTGCTGGATGCATTCACCTGCTTTCGCGTTAGGTCTACAAAGTTTCAGAACCCTTGTTTACCAACCGCTGTCTTTTCGCTGTTCACTCGCTCCTCGGTTTCACTGTGTTATTTTTCTGAAAGTGCCCTTCTACAAATACCACCTTGCTTCAATGTCGTTTAAATAAATTGGGTTGTGTACGAGCTATCCTCATAATCTAGTTGTAAAATGAGGTAACATAAATCGGATGAAACAACAAAGCAACAAAGCAACATCAGAAGTTACTGTTTCGGCAGATTATCACGTCGAATAAACAACTAGCGATAACGATTCGTAGCGAAGTGCAGTTTCAAAAACACAGCATCATCATATACCTAGTCCATTTCAGCACAACGTCACTAAAAACCATGTTTCTCATTCTCTCTTTTTCTCCTTCGTAGCATGTTCTCGTTAGCAGGAGTCCGTTAATCGAGTCAGCCTTCTCATTTTTTCTGGCAGAATCCAAATTACCATCCTTTCCTTATTATTTGCCATCACCTGCTTTGCTACCATTTCCTGGTTGCTGGCATCGAAACAGTATGAGGTGAATTCCTTGCTCAACGAAATTTCTGATTAAAAGAAATAATGTCCCTTCTCCAGACTCTAACTCTACCCTTCCGGTTTGACTTCAACCTCTCTGCCTCTGTGTTGCCGCGTCCCGTTCTAAGGAACGTGCGAAGAACTAAGCAGTCATTGGCCGAAGGCTCAAAATCGTAATATGATAAACACTTCATTCATGTGGAATTCTTTCACTGATGGCCAACTCGCTATAGACAAATACAAAAGTGAGACACCTCATAGAAGCAGACTAGCTTTCGAGGCGAATGTTGATTTTTGCTTAGTTTAAAGGCATTGTTTTTTAGCATCATGTTTTAAAGGTAGCAAATGTTTAACACCATGATGGCTGACTAGGACTAGTTTTTACGAGAATGAACCTCATTACTCATGGTAACGTTTTAAATAAGGCTTTGTTAGGCGTGGGCGACTGTGGCAGAAACAAA